TACCTACCTACCTACCTACCTACCTACCTACCTACCTACCTACCTACCTACCTACCTACCTACCTACCTACTACTACCTACTACTACCACTACTACTACTACTACGACGACGACTACTACTACGGGCTCCGAAGGAGCTTGTTTTTGATTTTAGGGGTTCTTGTATTCTAGGACTAGGAGGCTCCTTGTGTACCTTGACCTACCAAAACCTACTTTATTTGCAGGGTCCCTGAAAATTCCATATTCGGGTTTATCATAAGAACCTACAAAAAAACAGGTTGTGGTATAGTCTAAGGTAGTTTTGAGGGGGATAGTGGATGGTTCTGGAGTTTTGGGAATCCTTTCGTTGTGGGGTTTGGGAACATTTGTGCACAGCTTTGTTTAGGAGTTGACGGATTTAGGTTTGGTTGGGCTTTATGTGGCTTGTTTTGCTTGTGTTTCTTGTTGGGCGTCCGGCAGAGGGCTTTCGGATGAGGGGTCGAGACAGCCCCGTTTGGTTTTTCAAGGGTCTGCGCGGTTTTATACAAAAGGGGTTTATGGTTTGCTATCGTGGGGTAGTTGGGGGGTTGAGGGTGTCGCGGCGTAGCTTTTCGACGTTAGGCCATAATTGAAAAGTCAACCTGTTTTGGGCTAGGTACTCAGCCCCAAAGGAATCCTCAGCCGGACAGCCCGCACCCAAAATAGTAACTATTATCGATGCCGTGACGTGAAGGAACCAAGGAACCCTTTTAGATCGATCAAAAGAACCCTAAACCCTAAACCCTGCAAAAACGGTTCAGGTTCGCCCTGTGGCTTCACCAGCACCTTCACAAACTCCGCTCGTCCACTGGGGAGCCCCAGCCGCCCGGCACATGATTTTTTGTTTCTGGGTTTTTGTTTCCAACAGGTTTCTGTAGAAGTTGAGACGATTTTGGCAGAGTTTTGTAGAGGGGGGGTTTTACAGCGTTTATTAGAGGGTCTTGCTCGTGGAGTTTTCTGAGTGGTCCATTGGTTCTTTTTGAAAGAGGTTTGATTAATTCAATAAGAAGGACCGAATGACCCTTACATCGTTCCGATACAGATATCATCTTGAAGAAGCCGAGCCTATTAGCATTATTCCGGCCCCTGCAATTGGCTTTTGGAGTTGAGGATTCAGGCATTGATTTTAGGGGGTGGGGTTTTGGGTTTCAGCGATTCGGGTTTGGAGTTTTGGAGTCAGGGTTCCAGGGTTCATCAGGCTTTCTTTGGCGCGCCCTAAACCCTAAACCCCTAAACCCCTAAACCCTTAACCCCTAAACCCCAAAGCCCTTAACCCCTAAACCCGAAACACTAAACCCCTAAACCCCTGGGTAGGATAGCGCAAAGGTGAGCCTTCTTTGGGCCAGGGATCAGCCCAGCTCTTCAGCGAGATCCCGTAAGCCTAACCCTAAAGTTCTAAACCCTAAACCCTAAACCCTAAACCCTAAAACCCTAAACCCTAACCCTAAAACCCTGAACCCTAAACCCCAAACCCTCGACCTTAAACCCTAAACCCTAAAGTTCAAAGGGGGAGGGTAGGAGGGATGCTTAGGGAACCTCGGGGAACCGAGAAGAATCACTAAGGAGCTCGAAGATACTCCGTAGACCTCCCTCCCAGAAAGGTCCCTAAACTAAGCCCTGAGCCCTAAACCTCAAAGAAGGGTTTAGGGTTTAGGGTTTAGGGTGAACCCTAAACCCAAAACCCTAAAGGGTACCGTGCCCGTAAGGCTGATGGACTTCACTGCTCCCCAGCATGCAAACCCCAAAGCCCTAAACCCTAAGTCGGAGCGTGAACCTAGAGGCCTGAATAAATTCTTAGAGCATGCATTTCTAGCCCCTACAGATGTGATCTTCTACTCTCCTAAAGCTCTTTCGGATCCTAACAACAATCCGAAATATTCAAACTACTGTTGTCGAACTCCTGGAAGAACCCTTTGAGGACCCATTTTGAGTCATTGAGGTCCCTGTACTTGTGATGAGGCTGCAGGGAGCCGGCACGAATCGTAGAGGGGTCGTACCGGGGCTGTCCATCCTTCATGGATGGCGTTGCAAAGATGCTGGATGACAAGCTGCAAGGCTTGGGAGCGGCACCCGTCAGCATGAAAATAACCTTAAAAGTAGGGGCCCTATACCCTTGTACTATGAATCCCTAGATCGTATATGAACCCTAAACCCTTTCAGGGGTCTTTTCGCCGGTTACCATGGCGGTGGATACGGTGCTGGATGTAGTCTTACAGGCACTGGATGCCAAGGTCAGGGAGCTGAACCCGTTCGACAAGATCACGGCTATGCTGCATGATGCGTTGAATTCACAGAATTCAACGGGTCACCTCAAGATCGAGGCAGTGGACACCGCCCTGCAGGATATTGCCATCAAGATCAGCAAGCGCTTCCAAGTCGTTGACAGTGCGGTGGAGAAACGCTGGACTATGGCTGAGAAGGTTGGTGCCGCACAGAAGCAAGTGGAGACGGCCTGGAAGGACCTGTGTAGGGTGCAGGTTTAGAGTTTAGTTGTTCATGGTTTAGGGCAGGGGTTTATGGAACGCCCAGCCTGTACAACAGGATGCTAAACCAGACAAAGGTCATAAACTGGGTGGGTGCACAGCGCAATCGCGGGGTGTGCTGGTGTGAGCGGAACGCATGACACGCCTAGACTGTAAGATCCCAACTTGGAGGGTCGGGCCCGACCCTCCAAGAAGAGAGCCCTTAAAGGAACCTTGAGTGGAACCCGAGGCCACCGGCCCAGCGGACGGTGGGGGAGGGAGAGTAAAGTCTGCCGGTATGCGTCGACTGTGGTGACCTAGCCGCGCTCATGACCTTGTGTTGGGGCGAAGACGAGAGCAAGAAAAACCCTCCTGAAGAGGGGCTTCGTGGGTGAACCCTGACCCCTTCTTGAGACGAGTTGGGCTGGGTGGGGCGGGACTACGTGCTGATGCAAGCACGTCATAAGTGGGTGCAATCCATTTCTAAAGAAGCACACACCACCGCCAAAAGACTGCATGCACACCCTAAGGATCCCTATAAGGCCTAAACCCCAAACACGCAACCCTAAACCCGAAGAGCCCCGAACCCTGAAGAGAACCCTGAAAAGAACTCTGAAGGATCCCTTCTAGCAGCGAAAAACTCCTTTCAACTCATATAAACGAACCCTAAAACCCTGAACCCTGAAGCGAACCCTGAACCCTGAAAGATTCCTTATAGCAGCCCCGTTTAGGGTTCAGGGTTTAGGGGTTTGGGGTTTAGGGTGTAGGATCCCTTCAACTTAAATTAGCCCCCAAAACCATCTAAACCCCCAGGACCCTCCCAAACCCTAAACCCTAAACCCTAAACCCAAGAAGATCCCCGGGGCTTGGCTTGTAGCTGAGGAGGCACATTCTCGAGAGGGTGGCCGACGAGGCTCTATCCCAAAAGGGCTTTTGTTTAGGGAAAAGAAGGATTTAGGGTTTAGGGTTCACTCGATCCCCTGGGTTCTCCCGTGAAGCATCCTTTGCAAGAACAGCTGAGGGACTGATTTGCTCTGCAGGATGGGAGGGGGGGATATTAACGATCCTTCGCAGAGCATCCACTTTTCTCAGATGCGCCAGGGTGCCTTCTTGAAAGCGTCGCTCGGTGCCACGACTCCCGACACTTTGCATCGGAAGACAGCAAGTGCACGGAGCACTCTGTCCGGACCTGGCTGCTTCAGAAGGTAGTGTGCAGCCAGCGCATTGGCATGCTCATGGTTGCCCGGACGGCCTCCCAAAAGATTCATTCTTCTGAGCTGCTTTTTCCTTGCACCAGCCAATGCTTCAGCACATTGATCTCCGCCAGTCATCGCAAAATGCGTCAAGCGTTCCTGAACAGCCCCCTGGGTTTTCAGGTTTCGCAAAACTGTCGCAGCCTGAGCCCAATGAAATACCGCAACTTTTGGCACTGCATGAAGGGCTCGGGTCGGGGCACGGAAAGAATTTAGAGGCCAGAAACATGCCTCCAAACGTGCTTTGCAGGACACAGCAGTAGCCAAGGCGTTGGAGCTGACCAAACCACTTCGTATTGTTTGCAAAGCTAACGCTGACAAGAAGGACCCGGCCAAAATCAGATGTTCCCATGGGATGCCGCCGCGGCGACAGTCCGTCATGATCCCTCGAAGGGCCACGAACTCAGCCAGTCCTGCTGGCCAGGGACAAGTCCGAGGATCATCTTTCAGCACAAGGGCGAGGCTGAGAGACAGACCGAGCCATCGAAGGATCATGGTAAATCTTCACAAGTTTATATTATAGGATCCTAACCATAAAATTGGTTAACCAAAAAAGCAATTACAATGTAGACTGTAGGTTGTCCTTACCTGTTGTTTTCTGACCTAGCACGAAAACCCTGACTCCCAGCAATCCGTTAAGCCGGCGAACACACGAATGCATCGCACAAATTGTTGTTTTTAGATGCTAGACTCAAATTACCCACGTTCCGCAGT